TAATTTGTTGTGGCTAAGATTAATCTTAACTGTTTTTTCATGTCCGTGAAAAATGGAGTAAGATTATGAGATATATCAATTTCTCTGAGTTCTGTCTTCAAAGAACTAGTATATCTTTTCGATGAAAGGTATGTACCTAGCGAGTTATTTCGTAAGTTTAATATCGACAAGTAAGGCATTCCAAAATAAAACTTCCCAAGTTTGTTATTTGAGAAATCGCACACTTTCAATGTAGAAGGTAGCATAACATTGTTGTCGTCTCCAGGAGCTTCTACAAAACTGTTATTATTTGCATAAAGTTCCTCTATTTTTATTGCATTCAAATAAATATATGCTGGCATATATTTGAATACAAGAGGACAGCAGTTTGTCATTTTCAAAACTTTTAATTCGTCCTTGAATAACAAATCTTGCATTACTCTTATCAGATTATCATGATCAAGCCGATTATGAGAAATGTCTAAATATTTCACATTTTTCCTATTTGGTAATGTCCCAACTTCATAGTTTTCTATCTTGCAGTTTGTCATTTCAATATAATCAAGATAAGGAAGATACAGAAACGTTAATTTGGTCACAGAAGGCAACACACAAAAATCTATTTTCAACCTGGTTAGATGCCTTAATGATCTATATCTATTTGAAAATCTAAACAATAATAATTGATTTCCAGCATCTACTTTTATAAACTGTAATTTATGTTGAGGTTTGATTAAAACGTTAAGGAATGTGTGGAACTGTCTATCTGTATTAAACAACTAATTGCGCGCTACATTCAAGTGTGTTAACGACACAAATAATTTGAAAATATCGTTAGGTGTTTCTAAACTGTAGTTCAAATAATTCCTTTAATAGATAATGTCCTAAGACTTGATAGACCATCAGATGTACTTCTTCTATATATGATAGTCGATTCGAAGATAAATCTTACTCGGTTAGAGATTCTTAATGATTGAATGGTGTTGGTGGAATTATCATTACCTATTAAATCTCAAAAAAAGTTTATGTACTTCTTTTGGAAAATTAGTGATGTTTCTGTCAGTAATGTTTTTATGATCACAATAAATTTTTATTTTCAAATTAGAACAGTCACATCGCTGATCAAATTTACATACATACTCTGTAAGTATTCCTGTGATTACAACCGGCATGATGTATATGACATAAACAGAGGTGATGTATACATTTGAAATCTTCATTGTGTTAATTGAAAAAGCATAGATTCTAACAAATATGATGAAATACTTTTATTTAATATAAATTGAAAATTTTATGGTTGATTTCTTTCAAGTACAAACAAACAAATTATAATCATTATACTTATAACAACAATCATAATAACTGTCTTTAATGGAAAAGGCACGATATGGAGTATCAGCCCATAACATAAATCAACACACAAACACACACACAGTACCAACCACAAAATGGAAAAAAAAAACGTTTCCATGCTTTTCTTCATCTCAAAGTTACAGTGTGGTCTTCAACACGATGCAAAAACACTAATTTAACTGCACGTTAATGACGGTCTTGAGCGGAATAATTTAACTGATGATCACACCAAAAACTGCGAATAGAAGAACAAAGCAATGGAGTAATCGCAATAATGTAAACCTGGCAAATAAATCAAACATTATCTGTCATATTCCAACCCACCAATCACACTGAAGCGTTCAAAAACAACATTTACATTTAGACAATCACGGGGCACATCGAGATGAATGTTATATAAGTTGCGAGAAATGATAGGCAAATAGTTTGGATAGACTTTGTAAAATGTAAAACAACCAACTCGGGTCTGGCAAAAAAGTACAAACCGGAAAGTAATACATATTAAAAACAAAATATTGCCTCTATATAGTTTTAGGTCTTTGTATGGCCAAAAAAGTACAAACCAGAAAGTAATACATATAAAAAACAAAATATTGCCTCCATATAGGTTTAGGTCTTTGTATGTTAGTCTGTTTGTTTCAGAGAAATCGAGTGATGAGTGGTTGATTTGTTCTTTTGTACTATTAGAATAATTATATGAGCCATTTTGCGTTAACATGTTTTTTTTTTTATTTTTCAGTAGGGTTGTTGAGTATATTTCACTTATGATGTCTTATTATATAAACACAGAGCATTTTGGCAGTATTTCTATCATTTATACTTATTGCGTAAAATATTACAGTAATAAAGCATGTGAGGCCAAATTTAAAGATAGAAAAGAAATATTACGTTTCGTGGTTTTTCTTTTTGTAATTTGATGAATGTTACTGATTTGATTGAATTCATTTTGTAATTTTTCTTTGCAAATCTCAATGTTCCAATATATGTCGCAAAACCACAATTTCCATAATTAAGTTTATATAAAAAAGAAGATGTGGTATGATTGCCAATGAGACAACTCTCCACAAGAGACCAAATGACACAGAAATTAACAACTATAGGTCACCGTACGGCCTTCAACAAAGTCCATACCGCACAGTCAGCTTTAAAAGGCCCCGAAATGACAATGTAACATGTTTACCGCTTTCTTTTTTCTACGAATGTAATCAGTCAAAAAAACAATATAATATGATGCAGGCAATAATTTCTAGAATATACAAAAGTAGCATTACACCAAACGTAACCAATTTTACTTTTGAAAATTCCAAAATTTCAATAAAACAGTGTCCTTTTAAGACATCACCAAAGTTCGAAGTCATTAGACTGATAATACCCCGGTCAACTAATGTAAATTATATATAAGGCAATATATACACTGTGACATTGATTCATTAATAAAACCATTTGAGGAATTCTTTAATTTAGTGTAATAAATCAAATTAGCGAACGAGTGTTACAATTTTCATGCAAATAAGGAAACATTTCATATACTTGTAAAATTAATAAACTATTTGCATATTTAAATATTAAACAAATACCAAGAATCAAAACAGTATACACTATGGTATTAAATATATATATATATCTTCGAAATAATGATATCAGTCAATATTCGAACGTCTTATTGTGCTTTTTACATACTAATGAACGTAGTGAATAGCACATTTTTGTATAATCCAACCTGAATGACCTTAGATAATTTCAATTTCCTTGTTGAATTCAATTAAAAAAAATTGATTTCCTTTCACACGCCTTTACGGTGAACATAACAATTAACAATCGACACATATCTCTTTCAAATGAGGAAAAAAAATGAGAGCAATTAAATATAAAACAAATTGTTAAGAGGGCAATTGAATGCCTTCCACCCTTAATGCACATAGTTTGCTATACAAATATAATTCCGGTTCAAAATGTCATTTCTGGTGTCAAATGATAGCTAACTATACGTTGATTCCTACAATCTATGTTTCACTACATTTTTTGCTTGAAATAAGGTCAAATAATTTGCAACTTCCCGTATAATATGTCAACTCTGGTATCATATGATAAATTACTTGAATATGATTCCAAAAAATATATGGTTCTCGCAGTCAGTAACTACTATTTCTCTCAGATCTGTACTTAGTGTCCTTTTTGTTGTTAGGGACGAGGGGTGGATAAATTCTCTGCCATGTTCGGTCTGTGTTTATGTTTGATATCCCAAGTGTTGAATATGACAGTTGTTTTCCATTCGTTCCGGTGGTTGATATAGTCTAACGTTTGATATTTTATTGACTTCCCCCTTTTTGAATACTTTTTGTCATGGAGAACAAAACAATCAATAGACACATTGATCAGTCACTATCAAAAGAGAAAGAAACAACCTCAAGAACAATTAAAAATATCAATCATAATAAAACACAATTATCAAAAGAAAAAGAGGACAAAACATAAACAGTACTTCCAAACACTGCTTAGAAAATAGAACCCACCACATTCTGAAATTAAACACGGAGGCTTATCAAGGGTCAGCAGTTTCGTTTCCAGTGTTGGCAGGTAAATCCATTGACAAGTCGGTTTTGGTGGTGTAACAAGTGATGACAAGTGAAAGATCTTTGAAAATACAGGTGCTATAAAATTGGAAACATTTTAACGTTTTTTTTTTTTTTTCTTTTTTCTTAAAATGTACTGTACTAAGTCAGGAAAATGGCCATTGTTATATTATAGTTCGTTTCTGTGTGTGTTACATTTTAATGTTGTGTTTTTGTTGTGTCGTTGTTCTCCTCTCATATTTGATGCGTTTCTCTCAGTTTTAGTTTGTAACCCGGATTTGTTTTTATCTCTATCGATTTATGAGTTTCGAACAGCGGTATACAATTGTTGCCTTTATTTTTCCCTTAAAGAAATGTTATTCAAATTACAAATTTGAAACGTGAAGCCGATATCAATAATTCAGTTACTTCTAATTCAAAGGGACAATAAAAAACCTAAAGCATTTAGAGTACCCCCGCGTAAATTTTATTGAGTTGTTACATTAGATATAACTTAGCCTATATGAACACTTTTTTTGTGAGCTGACATGATTTCAGTGTTGGTACGTTTAATACTTAAACTTTTCACAAATTGATTTATGCACTCTATTACATTAATTCTCCTTAAGTTCACTGCAAGGCGTTTGCAGGCTTATCATTTAGTGAGATTCAGATTTAGTGGGTCTATAATCTTTTATTTGAGATTCCGTTGCATGTATGTCTCGCCAATATATAATTTAATATTTCCATTACAGCAATTCTTTATAATAGGGTGTCCAGTCAACGATTTGACCGATATGGGGTTAACTGAATAACACACTGCTGTATTTTTTTCATTGGAAAGAGGAGAACAAACCGCATCGAATTATCAAAGTCGTCGTTGTGTACCGTAGTCACGGGTGTCTTAAGTTTGGGTCAAATCTAAAATTTTAGGGAAAATGCAGAGTAACATTTAGACAGCTGCTTGCCGCTCCTTTATACATTCGTTACGTATACCGCCCATTTCTTCAAATATAAAGAATAACAGTATAATTTATCGAAAGTCGTTCTTCAACTGAGTTGGGAAAAAAATAAGCAAAAATTCAAATTTTTCAAACAACAAGCCACCGTATCACAATAACTATGATGTCTATGTACTCTGAATTATTCATACACATCTATTTCAATTGTCCTTTGTATCCGGTCATTGCGGGATATTGGTTTAGAATATACTACATATTAAGGGTAATGATTTTTGCAAAACTAATATAGCGTGTCTGTTGTACCATTGTAGTTGTTGCCTCCCTTTAAACCAAAATTTTTTTACCTTCACCTGTTTTATGTAGTTCGGATAAAAAAGAAAAGATTTTTAAAATATGAAAATGTACACAATAAATAATGTAAGACAAAAAACTATCATACAAGTAATGAATAATTCAATGGTGTTATATATTCAGGCAATGCTTAAGAACTTAAATCAACCTACTACATTGTTTTTGTTTAGATGCATTGTGGTGTAATAGAACAGAAAGTACACATACCACACACAATTAAATTTCAAACAAAGTTGAAATGTCAAGCTTAAGTAATCTTTCTTGATTATTCCGATGATCCTAAAGATTCCGCTATTTTCTTCCAAAAGACAACATTCCCTTGTTCATCATTTGGGTACTCGATGTACGATTGCTTCTGAACTAACTCCAGAATGACTAACGGTAGATCTTTCGGACGCAGTTGTTCATAGAATACCAGAAACAGAATGTTTTGACCATCCCTGGAATATATACTCTCCATTCTTGCCATGTTAAATTCAAACATGCAATAATAAGAATCAAGAAATGATTTCGTTACAATGCATATAGTGAACCTACTTTGGTGAATTCCGTTGGTAATATTTTGTGTAATTTCTTCTCCTGGAACGAAGTCCCGCTGATGTACACAGAGTTTCATGCTTTCTTCACGTTCCAAGTGTGGTATAACTTCATTCACTACGAAGTCTGTTTCGTCATTTGCATATGATATGAACGCATCGTATTTGTAATTAGTACTAGATTGAATATTTTGGAATACCTTGTACTTATGTCTTGTCATATAATACAGATAGCGTAGCCTCCATCGAAACCTGTACAGCAATCCAGCAGAAAGAAAAAGACAAGCTATAATTATCCCCACAGCTATACAAATGATTAACGTGGTATACGAGCTGCATTCCTTTTCAAGTTGTTTTACAATTGCATTTACATTTGTCAATTGAACTACATTATTGTTATCAAACAGGCACGTGTATCTATCCGTGTGTAAAAACAAATCTAAATTTGCGTCCATCCATTGTAAGAATTTCAGGTTTTGACAGCTACATTTCAATAAATTATTTGATAGATCTATTCTCAACTTGGATGTTTTGGAGAGTTTGTGTAAAGTCTTCATAGATGTTTGTGAAGATATTCCACTGATGTTGTTATATGATAAATCCAATTTTTTTAAACTAACGAGATGAGAAAGATCGAAAGTAACATCCGTTAACCTGTTTTGGCTCAAATCTATTTTTACTGCATGAACATGTCCGTGAAATATGGCAAAAGATAAATCCTGAATAAGATTGAGGGATAAATCAACTTCTTTGAGTTCGGTCTTACTGGAGTTAGTATATCTTTCCGTTGAAAGGTATGCACCTAATGTGTTATTCCTTAAGTCCAATATCGACAAGTTAGGCATTCCAAAATAGAACTTCGACAGTTTATTATTTGAAAAATCGCATGCTTTCAATGTGGGAGGCAACATGAAATACTTATCGTTACCAACAGCTTCTACAAAACTGTTACTGTTTACATAAATTTCCTTTATTTTTGTTGCATTTAAATCAAACGCAAAGTATTGTGGCACAAATACATAAACTGAAGGAAAGGCATTCGTCATTTTTAAGACCTGAAGTTTTTCATTGAAATACAAATCGGACATCAAACTGGACAGGCACTTATCAGTTAAATCGTTTTGTGAAATGTCTAGATATTTGAGCTTTCTTCCATTTCGCAATGTCCAACGATCATATGATTGCGTGTAACAGTTATGCATATCAAGATACTCAAGATTGGGAAGATTAAAAAACGTTATATTGGTTACATAAGGCAAACGACAAAGGCCTATTTCCAAACTTTTAAGATGCGTCAATGATCTATATAGGTCTGGAAATTTAAACAATTTAATAATTGTAGATGGCTGTATTGCATCTACTTCTATACTCTCTAATCGAACTAGGGATGATAGTAAATCGCTTGGAAAAGTTGGAAATTGGAAACTTTGTTCGACCAAATTATTGTACGCTACATTCAAACTTTTTAACGAAACCAATGGCTTGAAAATATTATTTGGTATTGCGAAACTGTAGTTCAAATAATTCCCTTTTATAGATAAAGTTTGAAGTCTTGATAATCCATCAAAAGTTCCTTCTTCTAGATATACAAGTCTATTAGAAGATAAATCTAACTCAGATAGATTTTTCATATGATTAAATGTTGTCCCTGGAATTATTTCAATCAAATTAAACCAAAGTGAAAGTTTTTGTACACTTCTTGGAAAATGAGGGATATTGTAACCAGTGATGTTTTTATTAATACAAGAAACTGTCAGATTTGAATTAAAGCATTTACATCGCGGATCAAATATACATGTATTTTCTGTAGGTTTCGTTGTATATACAATCAAGATGCAGTACACAAAAAAGAGTGTGACCGTTTGCAATTTGGATATCTTCATAATTAGGTGTTTAAACAGCAATGATTCTGAAAAATATAACACAATATTTCTATTAAACATGTTTAAAGTTAAAATCAAAAGTGATGATGATTTCTTTTTTAAATAGAAAAACAACTTTTGACTTCAGTTTGCCATTTTTTTGCCACAATAAATTGTATCAAATTTATCATGTACGATGACTATACTCAAATCTACACATCGAGTTAGACGGTATATGCCGTTATGCGCAATGAAAGCAGATTATTATTACTAGACATAACACTTCATACTGTGGATTCATTTATTTTCATAGGTATCAATTTTCGTGGATTGAGGAAAACGTATATATTAGTGGATATTTGATTTCGTGGTTTTGCAAGCCTTTAGAAAATTTATAACTTGTTGAAGATTTAAATTCATGGTTCACCTGTACCAACGGAATTGATGAAAAATTGGTATCCAACGAATAATGATGAATCCACAGTTTTATAATTCGTAGCTTGTATTTTACAGTATCAATATGCAGAAGCACTGATAATTGATACGAGCAGAAAAGCTGCGTTTATCATAACGTTAACGACAAATGATATCAAAACAGGACAATTGGGAAGTTTAGCATTTTCTTCTTCACTGCGAGAGGTTAAATGATTCATATGCAGAAATATTGCAATATTCAGATATACTATTCCTCAATACTTACAAGGTAATATATTATTACGTGGATAGTGTGGCTGATATCATAATACTTTAATTCCCTAAAATCTCACTTTCCCTCTTTTTACAATAAGTTAAAAATATAATATACGTGATTAAGCAAATGTGATCTTTCAATAATGTAAAACAAAAGCATGTTAATAGCAGTAATTTAAAAGAAGATATAATAATGACAATGTTCCGACTGATTTGGCATTCATAAAATAGTTGATTCAATTACTTAATTCAAAAATTATTGTTTTCGTCATAAAATATGCTATAAAATATATATACCTTCGATTGACCAGCTTCGCAATTTTTGATAATGTATTCCAATGTTTTATCTATTTCTTTTATGTTGTTTCGATGTGACTAAACGGAGTAATATAACTATTATGTATTAAATTGACTTCAAACGTACATTCATTAAACTGTTTCCTCTTTCCTTTGCATTGAAATATTTCCCTTTTTAACTTATTGAATGCAATATTTCATTTTTTTTTTCATTTTTGGCGTATAGAACAAAAACGCATACAAGCTTTAAGCTTTGAGTGCCAGATGTTTTAATTGAAAAATTAGTCACGTTTTCCTGTTGTCTTAATGTTATTTAGAATTGTAAACTTGAAATATGATATCCATACTAACAGTTTATTTAGTTCTTATAAAATAAAAACCTGTTTATTCAACAACCCTTTATGACAGATAAGGTAGAACGTGTATATACATTTCCGATTGTCAGGGATTGTCAGGGATGATCATGAAACCAAAAGTAGTTCTCACACGAAAGGATGATACAAATTGTTAAAGTTGTTAATTTTCTGTTATGACTATGTAAATTGTACTCAGTTAATGCAACACTTGTGTGAATTGTAAACGCTGTAACATAATTATAGTTTTTTATTTTTGCCATCTTAATACTATAAAAAGTTAAAGTAACCAAAATGCCGAATTCCAAGGAAAATTCAAAACGGAAAGTCTCTTAACAAAATCAAAAGCTCAAACACATCAAACGAGTGGAAAACAAATGTCATATTCATGAATTGGCACATGCTTTTCCTTATGTAAAATATGTGAATCCAACCTGGTTGTATAGCTTGCTAAAACTCTCACCTGAAGCTTATGGGACAGTGTTGGTTGACGATTATCATTTAAAATCCTTCAGAGACGTTTACGTTGTAATTAATGCTATCACTTTTGGTCTTGTATATGGTTCAATGAGTATTTAGCTCATATACATGTATACAGATTATAGTTGTGTTATTGTTCGAGATTTCAAATTAAGTAAATAAATTTATTTCAATGCCATGTCTCTAAGTGGCGTAATAAAAACGTATTGCTGTTTTATCTGAACCAAATCCGACCATCCTCTGGCAATTAAACATTTATAAATATTTAAAAACAATTTTATAAATTTGCCAAATGAATGTGATCTGATTCTATGCTCTTGCACATATCCTTGATTATCAGACATGACAATAAAAGAAGTCTATGTCGTCTATTTTGTCATGTCAAATATAGTGGTACATATTACGGATTCGAGGATTATGATGAGATAAAATAAACACTTCACACATTATCATAATTATTAATTACATGTAACTCGGAAATACTACCTTTAAAGAAAAAGACACCAGTGGGACATGCATGTTTCTATCAATAGCCGTACTCCTTTGGGGGGTAGCTTACTGGCTTATTATTTTTGTAGCCGGGTGAAGTATCTGCAATTGACCTCAGCAGTTAAATAATGACAAAAATAAACTACTACCGAATTTCATAGCGATCATAAAACCTGAAGGTATGGTTCCTTAATGTAACTAGCCTAGCACTAAGACTATATTTTCGAAAAAAAATCGTAACATGTGAATTACCATAAAGCATCACAATGAATTAATATAAGATATGTGGTTATCAATTTATCACCAAAATGATTGCTAACGGATGGGTCGACAGGGTGGGCATCTCTTCCTAATCGTTCGCGATCGTCACAGTTCATTCAATTATTCAGGAATATCCTAGACTAATGCTAAATTAGGATGTCGGATGTTTACTGATGTTCAATTCCCGTAAATCGATACGGAAGCGACAAAAAAAGATAGCAAACACACAATCAGGGAATCGTCAATCATGAAATAGCGATATTGTGTCCGTTGATAGATAAGGATTTCATTCAATGGATGCATCACTCGCTATATGCGCTATGCAAATTCATACTCGTCAAAATGTCACTAACAAGAATATGACAGACTCACTCGGTAAAATACAACCAGACAACTATACTGGTATCTGAAGATCTAAGACCTTAAAATCATGTGAGAATGAAGTGAGACATTGACGGATTGGGCTTGGTCAACCAATTCGTGATTAGTAAATAAAGGAAGATGTGGTATGAGTGCAAATAAGACAACTCTCCATCCAAGTCACAATTAGTAGAAGTATACCATTATAGGTCAACGTACGGCCTTCAACACGGAGCCTTGGCTCACACCGAACAGCAAGCTATAAAGGGCCCTATAATGACTAGTGTAAAACAATCGACAACCTATGAACATCAGGTTTCTGACTTAGGACAGGTGCAAACAAATGCAGTGGGTTTAAACGTTTAATAGGCGCCAACCGTCACCTTCCAAAGACATATAAACAAAAACAAGTTTAAGCTCTTCCTCGTTGCTCTATGGAAACAAAGTGTGTGTAAAAGGGAAATAGCAAAAAATACCGAACTCAAAGAAAATTTAAAACGGAAAATCCCTTCTCAAATGGCAAAATCAAATGCTCACACACATCAAACGAATCAGGCAGATTCCCCTTTGAAATTCAACAAAGAAATGGAACTCTTTGTTAGAGAAGGTAAAATTGGTATATTTGTATTGTTTGCATTTGTTTCTATGGGCTTTAAAAGTTTCGTAAAAGTGCATTATTTAGGATTTGAAGCATCGCATATATGTGTGTCTATTTAAATTATAGTAAGGAGCTTCGAGATATTTGTTAACCTTTAAATTATATACACATTCTTATAAAACAGCTGATTGTAGTTGGTGCAAATACACGTGAGTCTTTTTTGTGCATTTTTATTTGCTTGGGAGATGATTTTGATGAAGCAGAATCCTAAACTGAAGGGAAAACAACTGTCATATTCCTGTGTAAGAAAACTCGTCATAGATACCAGGTTAGAAATTTAAAGCACACCCCTGTTTAAGAAAACTATAGTAGTGTACCATCAATATTTACCGTAGGTAGCAATCTATGATAGTTGCATAATTTTTATGTACATGTTTATCAATGTTGTTTGCCTTAACAATATCATTTATAGTTAAATCTATAGATACATGTTATACTATTCTGCGGTTAATACCCTGAGGAAGAATATTTACAAATCAATCATGACTGTACTTTTATATTTTGTAGTTATATTACAGATATATCCAAATATTTTCATGTAAATGTATTATGAATAATTACACCTAGTGGTAAGTAAAATATTGCATATATTTTTCTACTTTCATGATTTGATGATTTGATTGCAAATTTATTTTGTGTTTGAAGAAACCCTTATTTTCTTTTTTCTCTCTGGTAAATTTGTTTTCAAATTGTCTCACATACCATTGCATCTTCATTATTGTCGGGCAATTTGGGTTTCAAGGGGGAAAGGGCATACAATATACATCATGTAATATAAAAGTTCAAGTTCATGAAACTCCACAAAATAATGTGCACCTTGAAAAGAAAATGAAACAATGTCAACTGGTGTCTATTCTATTTTATTTTTAGACGGAACTCATCAATTTCATAATATGTCAGGAGAAAATGAACAACCAACATATATATTGATTTTAGAAAATGAGAAAACAGATTTATCATTTCGCTCTCTCTATCCAGCTATGATCTTGTGTAAGTTTTTTTATTTATTGTAAGTGCTATTCTTTAAACATCAATAAATCACACAAATCAAAAAAGTTTTATTAGGAATATGAAAGTTATGCATGTATATATTGGAATGATTGTCAATGAAAAATCATGCATAGGTCATTTTTAATCTCAAAATTAAGCACATAAACAGGTGAAACATAAAGGGTGATGTAAAGTCTGTTAGAATTGAAACAAGATGTGTTCACAATATAAAACGTCTATCAGAGTAGCATGAACTGTATACTGTGGATTCATTTATTTTCATGGGTACCAATTTTCGTAGATGCAGAAAGATTGTGTTTTGGTCGATTGCTCATTCCGTGGCTTTAAAAAAATCTGCATACAGGCCTATAGAAATGTTTTACTTTGTTGAATATTTAAGTAGTATTTTACTTGTCCTCATGAAATCCACGAAAATTGGTATCATACAAATTATTATGAATCCACAGAATTTGAAGACCATAATTTTGAACATAAGTAAAGTACTGTTGCCTTATTTCGAAGAGTGTATTAGTACCAGTACCAAAAGTTATCTCTTATCAAAAGAACAGAGAACAATAGTCTCAAACCGTACCCAGCAACCCTTACCCACGAAAAACAAGCACTAAGGAGAAATGGACCGTAGTTAAGCTATTGTTTATAGTAAATTTACCAGTTTGTCGGACAGGTCTGAAACAAAAAGTATTGTCAGTGACATTATCTTGTCTCTGAAAAGAGAAGTGGCAGCAAAGAATGTGCTTCTTTTTTGGAATAGTATAACACGTCTCTTTATTTCGATTCTATTTAGGAACAATGAAGCCTTTTTGTTTTAGAATTATTTAGAAAGTAATGCATTTCTTTTAAATCATTAAGTTAGGTACTTGCAAAAGGATTGAGGTCACACCGAGCGAAAAAGATGGAATGGACGTATGACGATTCACACGAAAGTTCGTAAACATGAATTTATCAAATCTTCTAAATTCAGGTCCGTGCCCTCACCATAGAGTCAAGTGTGAAACAATCATTTTCCGATTTATTTAAATAATCGGATTGTATATTATTTGGGCGTGCACAAACAAGAATGTCCCATGTCAGGAGCCTGTAATTCAGTGGTTGTCAACATTTTTTGTTAGTTTTGTATAATGTATAATTTTTACATTTCAGGGTGTTGGTTTTCTCGGTTTTGTTATTTCGGACCGATTTATGGTTTGATATACGGTATGGGTTTTGTTAATGGTTAAAAGCCGCACAATAACATTTACTGACCTTATATTCGTCTGCGTCCAACGACAAACAACCCGAAAAAAACAGGTTTTATAATTAGAATGACTGCGACCTCATTTTGTTAAACACATCCTTATTGGAAATTTTTCAGCTGAATTTTGTAATCTTTATTCACTTATTTTGTCTGTTTGTTTGTTGGTGTTCAGCACAACTTTCTGTGATCTTGGCTATATCATGGCAGTCAGAGTTGACATGCTGGTAATAACTGTATCGAACTTGTTAGATTTTTCGACCGCCATCCAGAACCAAATACACATCAAATAGTTGGTGTTTAAAACTTACCAATAAACATAGTTAAGGAAAATTCTTAAATCCTTTTCCGAATTAAGATGTTTTGGGGTGTCTCGTTTTAAGAGTTTCGAGAACGTTGGTACTGTTTGACCATCTATATATTTAGCATCAAAAATAGAACAGTAAATATTCAGGGAGAATATAATATTATTTAAAACCCTTATATGTACACATATACTGTACTGCATAGAATGAAACATTTACATTAATGTTGTCATAGTTTTGTCCCTCATGTATTTACCACTCAATGGCAAATCTTTCAAACTATTGATTCAGTATGTCAATAGGTTAATATGGTCTGCTCTTAAAACTTCACTCATGTATTTAGTCTCTTTCCATCCAATCAAATGCTCTTCTTAATTTGAGCGACGTGTTCACAATTTGTTCAATTCAAGAAAAAAAGTTTACACACACACTTTTATATTTGTTAACAGTGTTGATTATTTGGTTGATGCCAATTGTAACGCGGAGAGGTAATATCATGACGATGCAATCCCAGAATGCACCACGAACGACACCTAGAACGATATCCCGAACGATAATGGTAAGGATAATACAAACCAGCATAATTAGAATTGTAATGTATTTCAACACGCGACTCTACACTAAGAGTAGCTGTGAATGCAGTCACAGGACTTTAAATATTTTAATCCTTTATGGGATGATTTAAAATACATTTATAAGTAAGCAATGAATGTGGTTGTTAAATTTGATAGATGCTTTTTGTGCTTCTTTGTTAAATGTTTGTTTGTTTTGAGATTGTGACACATTGATGACTGCTGTACCCATTTTTTGACAATGTTACCTATTATGTCTGGTTTGTTCACACATCGTTGTAAATATAATGGAATTTGATACGACCGTCATACAAGTGAGAGGTTTAGCGCTATAAAACCAGGTTCAATCCAACATTTTCTACATTTGAAAATGCCTGTACCAAGTCAGGAATATGACAGTTGTTGTCCATTCGTTTGATGTGTTATATCATCTGATTTTGCCATTTGATAAGGGACTTTCCGTTTTGAATTTTCCTTGGAGTTCAGTATTTTTGTGATTTTACTTTTTTCAATGAGAGCTCGGTGGATTCACAAAATGTGTAAACAATAACTTCAATTTCCAGACTTCCTATTACAGTTTTTTTTTCTGCTGTTTTTTTTTTGTTTTTTGTTTTTTTTAGTAATGGTTTCCAAAAAAAAAATAGTTGTTTGATAAAGTTAAACAAAGATTAATATGAATGCAATATAATTCTAAGATTTTCTTATAGATTCGTTTATTTCATTTGTGTGAGGCAGACTGTATACTACAGGATTAGGAAGACTGGCATCTAATCGTGTATGATTACTGTGACAGAATGACTCAAGAAACAATTATAGCATGTTTGCTTCTAAAATAAAATACCTCCATATTTTTTCTTTACAGGTACCTTTGGCTGAAGGTAAATTATAAATTGACATAATTGCTGAAGAAATTAAATTTGATATTCTACAAAATGTAATTATGTTTCTTTAAACATGAATACAATTAAACATAACAAGACACAATAGAAAAGAACAGGCGTTCGACATAAGTTATACTTGACTTACATATTGCATCTATCAGACATACTCCCAAGTTAGGAGCCTATAATTCAGTGATTGTTATTTGTTTCTGTGCATTATATTTGTTTTTCGTTCATTATTTTGTACATAAATCAGGCTGTTCGTTTTCTCGTTTGAATTGTTTTACATTTGTCATTTTATAGCTAACTTTGCGGTATGGGTTTTGCTTAATGTTTAAGGCCGTACGGTGACCTGTTGTCATACAACATCTTCTTAATTTTATATCATAATGTATTTAAACTATTTCTCAGTTCATATTTAGCTGTTAAAAGAGAGATAATCCAATTTCAGTCATGTTCCCTCGTTCTTATGAATATAACTAGACCATACCCACGACATCGCGGATCCGTGACTGAATTAAATTACTCCTTATTTTTAGCCTGGATATTTAGAATTCTTATTGTCATTTGGTAAAGTCACGCTGATTATAAGGTGCACAGTTATTCCCTGTATAATGACGAAGTTCAGGTGTGATAACTACCCGTGTTTATAGCATATCCTGAATACACCGTTTAGTTGTGCGCCTGACAGAGACGGAACGTACAGATTAGGTACAGGGATCAGGTAATTTTGTGACATATACTATTGGATGCGATCTGGAACTTGTTTATCATTTGTAATATTAATTATGTGGAAAACAAAAGGGCTTGGAATGGTGTAATTTTTAATCTACACCATTGTCCTATATTATTTATACATAAAGTAAATTCTGTGGGCAATACGTCGCATGAGCATGGGCGAAAGCGTATAAGACACGGATCGATAACGGTCTCTGAATTTGGATATTTTCTAAAAAATCGGCGTTTTCTGTCGAAAAAAGATTGTTTCAAAGACAAATTGGGGAAGTACAAAACACTACATTTATACGTCATATCACAATTATTTCAGAATTTGTATAGTTTCAGGGGGAATTGCTGCTAAATGAAAGCGGTCTCTTCCTTTAGTAGTATAGATATGGTACATGTATTTCTAAATGGAAGGATGCGTAAGGGAAATATCACTCATAACAAAAGTTCGGACATCTCTTATATGAATTGTTTTAGTGTGAAACGACATTGTAGGATATGTTAGCTTAAACCATTGTGGTGACGTCAGCCTATTCATTTACCGTGGATTCTTTTTCTAGAATCAACGCTTCCTAAATCTGCCGCTGAAATTGACTCACCAAATTATATTCAATTGTTTCCTTTGTGTGCCTAATTTCATTAAGTTTGAATTGGCTAATTTACTGATTTCTGTTCACTAATGGAATTAATTTAAAAACTTACCTTTAGTTTTTGTAATTTTTATATGCCTTCACTGGGAATTGAACCCTTCCTCGAAATCTGTTCTGTGTGACTAACATCAACACATCGACGAAACCTCTCGGCTACCAATGGGTTACACTATAGATGTCTATTTTATATATTTAAATAAACATCTGATATACATCGGTTCATCGGACACACAGGGCTTGTACCTTTATATAGACACAATAGGCAGTCGTATAATATGAGTTGGTAGCCGCGAGGTTAGCATGGTTAAAATCAATGAGTTAAAGATATGGATTTGTCGGTTTAGGTTCGAATCCCTGTATTCTCTCTGATGTTCCAATTCTTAAGTTATCCTGTTTTTTTTCTAATTTTGCATGTTAAAGTGGATATTTTTGTAATAATAGCGAGTTTTACCGGTTTTTTTTTTTTTATTATTATTGGCTATTTCACATGTTTGAAACAAAAATGATTACATTCTATTTGTCAAATTTGTTTTATAAATATAGTATGATTTCATCTGTTTTACTACATAATTTTACACAGGTTTGTTCGCAAATTCCTATGTGAGAAAATCGTGATGTGCCTAGAGTGCTAGAAAAATTTCGATAACATACTTATTATATATACTTTATATATGCTTTTTGGTCGGGTTGTTGTCTCTTTGACACGTTTCCCATTTCCATTTTCAATTTTATTAGAAATAATTTCGAATATGTCTTATTTTGTATAAACAGATAATATTCATATGCCTGGTAATATAAAGATCTTTAAAGGTAGAAGTGTTATATTTGTATTTTGTTAACCAATTAATTGTGATCTGAGATTTATCAATGCATCGTTTGGACACGATAACATGGTTATTTAAACTCACTTACAATACCTTCTAATTAAGAAAAGGCTTTAATTTTGAAAAGAAATTAACACAATAGTTTAAGTTATAGATACAATGGATAAGCGTAGATTCATGAAAAACAAACCATTCGCCCTCCGGGTGCATGGTTTCTTTTTCAAGAATCCACGCTTATCCATTGTATCTATATAACTTAATATACGGTGTAAATAAGACAACAAATGTTTTTGTTTAAATATACATTTACTTTCATATTTAGATTTCAAGGTTCAAATTTAAAAGCTTCATCCTATTTACGGCATAAATTTGAGAATGAAAATATGGAATGTGTCAAAGAGCAGAAAACAGCCCAAGGCTACTGTTGGGTCTTCAACACAGCGAAAAAATCCCGAACCTGGAGGCGGGTTTCAGCTGGCCCTTAAACAATAATTATACTAGTTCAGCGAATATATGAACGTGCTGAACGTTATTTGTAATAATCTTCTTTAAAATAAAAACTGTCAAGAAATTGTTCGGAAAGTTCGAAATATATAAATGTATGTGGAGCAATAAAAGGACTTCATAAAATTGTCAACACTATGTAACGTCAATTATCCTTAGCGGACCATGTGGTTCATTGATTCTGAATCAATTGTCTGTAGAACGTTTATGTTTATGAGTATGATCATACTATAGCTCATCATTTTCATCATTTAGAATCATGTGCAAAACAGTGTAGCCGAGACCATTGATTGGCGCGCTAAAATATCCCATTGACTGGGTCAGATTAGGTGAACGTTCGTCTGTAACGCCCACAACTCACGACGTATTTATTATAAACATTTAAACTGTGGGGTTGCCAAAGGGTCTCAGTATATATACGAACTACAGTGCACAGTATATTATATACATATTTTATTTGCGATCATAAAATGTACGAAGTCGTCCATTACTATGTAAATTGGGTCGATTAAAAAAAGCTGAATATGTTTCTGTTGCCAAGGGTTTTTCACAAGTATTGTAGTTAGCAGAAAAGATCACCAAACTATATATTTTACCTATTCAAAAACGTAAATGCAAATTTCCCAGGCTTGATCCAAATAGCCTTTTTACTGTCTAATAACTTGCAAGTACGAAAAGACAGGAAAGAAGTATATTTTGTCTATATGTTTTGTGTTTGCACACTTTTTAAAGTTGATCATAAGATGACATAATTGGACAACCGCAATTGTTAAATCGCTTTGACGTCCGAAAAAAAGATAATAATCAACACATCCATTGTAACTTTTAAAGCCAGTTAAATCCTTTTTTGCTGAAAGAACGTCCGATATCATAAAAATTCATTATCAAAACATAACAAAAACAAAAGTAAAGAACGTTTAAGTATTCAACATAAATCAAAACACAAAGGTTATTCCTGATTAGTTTTTCGAATTATTTTATTTAGTCGTTGAGACCCTTTGGTGACCCCACAGTTTAAATGTCTATAATAAATACGTCGTGAGTTGTGGGCGTTACAGACGAACGTTCACCTAATCTGACCCAGTCAATGGGATATTTCAGCGCGCCAATCAATGGTCTCGGCTACACTGTTTTGCACATGATTCTATCTCAAATTCTTTGATCGAATATTTTCTTGCGATAATCTAGTTTTGTATCGGTGGTATGACATTAACGGATAATCACTTACCGGACCTGTGTGACTTAAAAGGGGATGATATCGGCTCATTATCCAGCTTTAGGATTGTATCAGCTCGAACATGAAAAATCTTCATTAGTCCTCTTTCGTTTTAGATAATAATGTACGAATCCGGACATTAACTTTATCAGAAACTGACCCTTTTGTTTATAAATCTTTCATAGCATTCAATTTTTTTCTCATAATACAAATAACATCCGATATTATCATTCGTAGAAACAAAACGCATTTGTTAAAAATCGGAAAAGAACAGGAGAAGAACATGCGTGGTGAAAGGGTGTTAACGGGGAAACATTTTAACGTGAAACCAATAAGGCTCAAAAAAAAAAAAAAAAAAAAAAAAAAAAAAACGGAACATAAGTATCAATAAATGGGGTGACCTATAGTTGGTAATTTCTGTGTCATTTGGTCTCTTGTGGAGAGTTGTCTCATTGGCAATCATACCACATCTTCTTTTTTATATTTAGTGCATGTGATATCATAATGTTATTCGGGATCTTCACAAGGAATATGGGCTCACATTCCCTGTCAGAGTTTAATATCTTCTGAGCTACCAGACGAAGTGGCTAAAGGGCACTGACAGGGGTTATGAGCCCATATCCCCTGTGAAGCCCGAATAACAATTATATTATACTGGAGTGTCATGATTTCAACACTTTTTTCCTTCAAAATGATACGGGGTCATATCCCCTGTTCAGATAACCTATCAAATTGCAGGATTAAACGGGATATTTCACTTTAATCAGTATAAAGCCAATATTGGCCTTTATATCCTCCCTCGAACCATATTTTGGACATTGGGATTATGCCCATGTTCAGGTATGGAAGTCTCCGGCTGATACCAGAACCAATAAGAAAAAGTTCATGCTGTAATCTATAATTATAATGCTTTTGTAAATGTGTAACGTTTGTGTATTTAGGTGCCACACCAATAGATACACAGAATGTAAACGTACCAGATTCTAGGACTACAGATATCGCTACTATTACATCAGCTCCAAGTACAACACCGGAAGCACTTCCATCTCCAAATTAAAAGTGTATTTACTAATAAAATTCTGTAGACTGGATGTATATTTTCAATCCATATCAATACAGGGTATATTTTATGCAGATTTTGTAGTAGATGTTTATTTAAAGTCCCAATAGTGTGTTTCAGCGGTGAAAAATAAGACTATGATGAAAAGTTCAAAAATCAAGATTTAATATTACTTTTTAATTCAGATTAAAGAAAAGAAAATACTAAAAAGAATTAGTATAATTTAATATTGAAATTTGTCATAAGTGAAAAAGGCACAATTCAATCATCAAGTTTTTATATTGTTTTTTAATTCGTAGTAAAGAAAATGAAATACTAAAAAGAATGATTATGATTTAATTTTGAAATGTGTCGTAAGTTAAACATATTGATAAGCCTGCTATTTGATGTTCTTTATGAGGCTATTGTGCCATTTTGAGTACCCAGTATAAAGACTAGAGATTTGCATCGTCTTTTTGGATGTTGATACACAAGGAGAGAAGGAGAGAAGGATGGCTTTGTGATTTTTCGAGAATGTGTACATGTATACATGGGATTCCTGTATTATCTGTGATTTGATAGTTTTTTGTTGCGATACAAATGATGATGTTTACATATGAAAACAATATTGTTGTTCGTGTTGCTCAGTCTTACACTTCAATTAGTGTTTGTGGTCTTTTCCCTATCTGTCTGTTTTGGTTTTGTTTTGTCATGGCGTTGTATAGATAGTGTATGCTCGAAATATAAGTTTTGCATGATCCCTTGATATATTCTTCGCCTCTTTTTTTAACAAGCTGTTATAAACACTTCATGTCATAAATAATTACACCATTGATAGAGAATAGGTTTTTAATTGAACTGCTTGATGGAAATTGAACCAATTGAAGTTGATTAAGAAAAGGCAATTCCAAAAATTTTAGCAAATGCAATGTGAATGAGATGGATCTATCGTTCGTCTACACTACCATGAAATTAATGAAGTATTATAGTCAAAAAGGTTTCTTCATTTTAATCAAATTAATTGATATGCAGCAGACCGGCATTATATGGATGACTATGAGCCATAACAGATTATTCACTTCACGTTGATAAGTTACAGTTTATTAATCTTACTTACTTTTCTAAGGTTCAACAATATTTGTTCACCTAAAGGGTAACCAATGCACGTTAATCCGAAACAATGTATCTGGCGCATGAACATCGGTAGCATACGTTTTTGTTTTGATTTTTGGAAATCATTATAAATAGTCTGATTGCCGTTTTTCATAAAAGCTGGAAATTATTGAAAGTAAATTGCTCTAGTAAAATAGTTTTATTTACATACATTGAGCCTCAAATTTGACCATAAATTTCTCTTCAACGTCTCGTTTATTTGTTAGTAAATTTAAACAACAAAAGGAAAACAAAAACTACTCCAAAAAGAAAACAAAACGCAAGGACAAACCAAATTAAAAAAAATCACACCAAATTCAAAAATTGAGCACCAAGAATCCCCTAAAAGGCGGAATGCGGGTGCTTCAGATAAAACCGGTATTTTGAATAACTAGTGCCTAATGATTGTAAAACAGATCATTTTAGAAGCAATTGTGAATTCTTGAATGGTATGTGATGTACGCTTTTAGTAAATACATAATTCAATTTCTATTAGGTTATGATTATTGGGAGTATATTACATCAAAAACAGGAATTACAATAAAAACATAGAAAGTATAATAGATACCACAAACCAATATCACATGACTCCACCGAAAAAAAAAGATGTACAAAAAATGACAGCAACGGATAACAGATGGAGCAGATAGCCCGACTTGGAACATGCTCAACATGTGATGCGGTAAAGGCCCGAATTGAAACAAGCACAACATGTGGTGCGGTTAAAGTCTGACTTGAAGCAAGCAAAACATGTGGTGTGGTTAAAGTCTGACCTGGAACAAGCACATATTGTAGTGCGATTAAAATCCGACTGGGAATAGGCACAACATGTGGTGCAGTTAAAGACGGATTTGGAACAGGCACAACGTGCAGTGCAGTTAAAGTCAGCATTGGAACAGGCAGAACATGTGGTGAAATTAAAGTCCGACTTAAAAAAGGGACAACATGTGGTGTGGTTAGGACCAACATGAAACAGGAACAATATGTAGTGGTTAAAGCACGACTTGAAAAAACACAATATGTGACGCGGTGAAAGCCCGACTTGAATCAAATACAACATGTGGTGCGGTTAAAGCTCGACTTGGAACATACACAACATGTAGTGTAGTTAAAGTCCGACTTGGAACTAGCACATAATATGGTGCGGTTAAATCCCGACTTGGAACAGACACAACATGTGGTGCGATTAAAGCCAGAAGAGGAATAGGCACAACATGTAATGCAGTTAAAGCCTGACTTGGAACAGGCACAACATGTGGTACGATTGAAGTTGACATTGAATAGCCACAACATGTGGTGCGCTCAAACTCCGCATTGGAACAGGCACAGCATGTGGTGCGATTGAAATCCGACTTCAATAACATGAGGTGAGGTAATGCCACACCCGGAAAAGGCACAACATGGCGTGTGGTTTAAGTCCGACCTGGAACAGGCGGCACAATTTGTGAAGCGGTTTAAACCCGACTTGAAACAGACACAACATGTTGTTCGGTTAAAGCCCGACCCAGAACAGGCACACCATGTGGTGTGGTTAACATCCGACATTGAACAGCCACAACATGTGGTGCGGTAAAAGCCCGACTTAGAACAGACACAACACATGGTGCAATTAAAGTCCGACGTGGAATAGGCACAACATGTAATGTAGTTAAAGTCTGACTTGAAACAGACACAACATGTGGTGCGGTTAAAGTTTGATATTGAATAGTCACAACATGTAGTGAGCTTAAACTCCGCATTGAATAGCCACAACACGTGATGCGCTCAAACTCCGCATTGAAACAGGCACAACATATGGTGCTGTTTAAGTCTAACTTGAAACTGGAACAACATATGGTGCTGTTACGCCGGACTTAGAACAGGCACAACATGTGGTGTGGTTAAAGCCCGATTTGGAACAAAAACAACAAGTGGTGCGGTTAAAGTCTGACTTTGAACAAGCACATACTGTGGTGTGGTAAATGCACAACTTGGAACAAACACAACACGTGATGCGATTAAAGTCACTCTTGGAACAGACACAACATGTGGTGCTGTTACGCCCGACTTAGAACAGGCACACCATTTGGTGTGATTAAAGTCCGCATTTTAATAGGCACAGCATGTGGTGCTGTAACGCCAGACGTGGAACAGGCACAACATGGCGTATGGTTTAAGTCCGAATTGGAACAGGCACAATTTGTGAAGCGGTTAAAACCAGACTTGAAACAGACAGAACATTTTGTGCGGTTAAAGCTCGCCATGTGGTGTGGTTACTATCCGACATTAAACAGCCACAACTTGTGGTGCGGTTAAAGCCCAACTTGGAGTAGACACAACATGTGGTGCAATTAAAGTCCGACTTAGAACAAACACATATTGTAGTGCAGTTAAAGCCCGACATGAAGCAAGAATGACATGTAGTGCGCGTTAAGTTTGCTTTGGAACTGGCACATCATGTGGTGCGGTTAAGGTCTGAATTGGAACAAGCACATGTTGTGGTGCGCTTAAAACCCGATTTGGAACAGGCACAACATGTGGTGCTGTAAAGGTCTGACTTGGAACAAACACATATTTTGGTGCGGTTAAAGCCCAACTTGGAACAGGCACAACATTTAGTGCGATTAAAGCCCGACTTAGAACAGGCACACCATGAAGTGTGGCTAAAGTCCAACATTGAACAGCTACAACATGTGGTGCGGTTAAAGTCCGACTAGGAACAGGCACAACATGTGGTGCGGTAAGGGTCTGACTTAGAACAAGCACATATTTTGGTGCGCTTAAAATCCGACTTGGAACAGGCACAACATGTGGTGCTGTTAAAGCCAGACTTGTAGCAGCCATAACATGTGGTACAGTTAAAGTTTGACATTGAACAGCAACAACATGTGGTACGGTTAACGTCCGACTTGGAACAGATACAAAAGAGAGGCGAAAGATACCAAAGGGACATTCGAACTCATAAGTCAAAAATAATCTGACAACTCCATGGCTAAATAAGAAAAAGACTAACACAAAACAATAATACACAAAACACAACATAGAAAATTCAAGAGCAACACGAACCCAACCAAAAACTGGGGAGATCTCAGGTGCTCTGAAAGGGTAAGATCCACATGTGACACCCGTCATGTGGTGCAGTTAAGGTCTGACTTGAAACAAGCACATATTGTGGTGCGGTTAAAGCTCGACCTGGAATCGGCACAACATGTGGTGCGATTAAGGTCTGAGTTGGATGCGGTGAAAGTCCAACTTGAATTAGGAATAACATGTGGTGCGGTTAAAGTCGGACTGGAAACAAGCACAACATTTCGTGCGGTTAAAGTTTGACATTAAACATCCACATCATGTAGTGCGGTTAATGCCGGAATACTAGGAACAGACACAATTTGTGGCGCGGTTAATGCTCGACTTGGAACAGGCACGACATGTGGGGTAAAAGTCTGACTAGTAGCAAAAATAACATGTGCGCTTAAAGTCCGACTTTGAACAGGCACAACATGTGGTTCGGTTAAAATCAGACGTAAAGCATGAATAACATGTGGTGCGGTTAAAGCCCGACTTGGAACAGGCACAACATCAGGTCCGTTTAAGTCCGACTTAAAGCAGGATATTCATTCTAGTTGTACCATTTCACTTTTCTCGGACTATTCTACATCCAATATTTATCAAACGAAAAACACATATAATCCATTAACATATATGCATGAATACTAGTTTTGTTTACTCTCCCGTAATACCACTTAAAGACACAAATACATGTCGTTTCAATCCCACTACAAGAAAGACGTGCGTATCCAATGACTTTAAACATAAATCTGAATGAACTTTATTCAAGATATTTTTATAGTAAGTATTC